TCAAAGCTGTTACCTGGTTTATGAGCCCAGTGGTCATAACAAAACTGGCCCATGGGTGGTGCCCAACATTAAACTTGTCTCATTTTCTTATCTTTAGCCTTTCAGGAGGCCTGTGAGGCAAAATTAGAGGAGGCCATTATCCTACTTCAATATTAAAGGAAGGACCTTGTCAAGATGCTCATCAGGAAGTAACATGAGCTGAGCCTTCAGTTTTTGGATTCTTTAACCAAAATTCCATAGGTAGTATTGACTCTGTTTGAGGGAATGTGTTGCTGAGAAATAGACCGAGAGTTCTGGAGCTAAAGGGAAAGCAGAGATACCCAAGAGGGAGGGGAGGACAGAGGTTGGGAACCGGAGAGCACCAAGTTGAATTCCACTCTATCCTTCCAGCTCTCTAACACACCCTGCTCCCTCTCTGATCCCAGGTACTTATGGCATGAGTGTGTGGTATGAGGGCACACATGGTGTAGCTGCACAGGAGTGTCTCTATGTATGTGTCATGCAAATGTTCATGAGACCATGAACTCAGCCTGGGTTTGTCTCATTGTCTGAAGCCACCAGGATTACTTCTTGGTGCCTCCCCTGATTTCTGTGAAATTTTGTGATTAGAGCATTTGACATGGCTGACTACCCAGAATTGGAAGTTCCCATTGTCCTGTGCTCTCTGAACATGGCCACTAAATCCTACTGCACCACCTGATGTACAGGGACTTGCCGAAGATCCATTATATGTTGCTCCCAGCTCACATTCTTGCTCTGTATTTCGGTCAAACGCTGCATGTCCATCATGCCCCTTATTAGAGCAGTGACCTGGGAGGCCAGGGGACGGGGAAGGAGAGCCTGGTTGGAGGAGAAGGCCTTCAGGGAGGCAGAAATCGGCATCCTACTGCAACAGAAGGTGTGCCAGGAGGTCTGTCTATGGCATTCAGGACTCTGATCTAGGAATGGCATGGGGTTGAATAGGAGGAGGACTTACATTCAGAACCAGCAAGAGAACAGGGCTAGGTTGAGAGGCTGATGGAGGAATAGAAATTGAATAGAGAGCCCAGGGTCAGGGGACCATCAACCACATACCGGTAGTCACCAAATGTGGCAGGAAGGGAAAACAAAGGAGATAAAGAAATACAGACACATATCATAACATTGTAAATTTTATTCCATGGAGGAAGAAGGAAGGAGAGGGTATGGAGATGACAAATAGGTAGGAAACACAAGAAGGCCACCAGGAACACTAATTGATGGGGACCAATTAGGCTGAAGAATGGCTCCCCAGATGTCCATGATTTATTCCCCGCCAGGTGTGACTATGTCTTGTTTTATCTGGGTAGCCCATGTAAACACAAGTGTCCTTATAAGAAAGAAGGCAATGTGAAGACATTTGACAATGCTGCTGGATTTGAATATTCTGGATGGCTAGTAATAATGCAGCTTTAGATTCTGGAAAGATAAAGACAGGGAATATTTCTAGAGCCCTGGACGTTGGATGGCATTGCCCACACCTTGGTTGTGTCCAGTGAAACCTATGTCAGACGTCTCACTCCAGAATTCTAAGAGAAGAAATTTGTGGTGTTCTAAGTCACTGAGGCTGTGGTAAATTATTATAGCAGCTAAAGGAGACTAATTCAGAGAAGGACAGCAGGCAAAAGTGAAAAATACAGAGAAAGGAGCAGATAGGCAGATAACCCGAGAGAGGACATCAGGTGGAAGGGCAGGTGTGCAGATGGAAAGCAGGAATTGGATAGATAGACAGGGAAGGGCAGGAAGGAGTTTCGCAGAACTTGCCCTTCTCCCAACAAGGACTAGAGGAGCTTTCTGAGTAGTAGGTGGATCCCATTCTTTGAATTAAACACAATTTTTGATATGGGGATGGGGACTTGGAGAGGATCTGTCACCAGCTCAAAGTGAAGCAGGGCCAAGGCCACAGCCACCTTCAGCTCCTTCATGGCAAAATGCTTCCCAATACAGTTCCTGGGGCAAGATGAGAAAATAAGGAAAACAACATGAAAAAAAAAATGGTATCAAATCCTGTTTTCAACTGGGCAGGCATTTGTCACTTAGCCCTTGCCACGAACAGAGTTTCCTGGGACAACCCAGGGATTAGCCGGTTTCAAGTAGTTGTACTCCCTGCCTCTCAATAAATGGTCCAGACTCTTGCCTCTCACTCATCCCCTCAGTCAGCCCCAATGCCCTGCAGGGTGCTCTGTCTGCCAGACCTGGGAGCTTTGCTGACACAAACACACTAAAGAAGTCCCCATGCCCTCTTGTCCTGGCTCTGTCTGTTGGGTCTGGGAGTGTTCTTGCTGCAACCTTGCTAAGGAAGCCCCTATGCCCTGCTATTTAAGCTCTGTTTGCTGGGCCTGGGGCTTTCCTGCTGCCGCTGCGGTAAGGAAGCCTCCATGTCCTGCTCTCCAGGCTCTGTTTGCTGCAACAGCGCTAACTGATGTCCAGGCTCTGACTGTGTGTCTGGGGCGGATCAAAAACCCCTCCAGATAGGGATCCAGCCTAGACAGGCCAGACACTCCAGCAGCAGAGCTGAGGGGACTGGGCGCCGCCATCTTGTGGCTATGGGGGCACCATTTTTGTGGCAGAGTGATGGTTAATTTGCATATTTATTATTAGATAGGATACCTCAACATCCAGTGCACTGAACAGTGCAAGGAAAATGGAACATTCAACAGTGTGCTCATTGAGTAAATGAATGAATATTGTGTTGTCTACTTGCATTTGTTTCTTGACTGTGAACTCCTAGAGGCTGCGATGGTATCTTTCCCATCTTCTAGTACAGGACTTGGCATACAGCACAGGCTTAATAAATACATTTATATTTGAATGAAGTCAATTGAATTGAAAAAGTAAATTAACATTGAAAGAAGAAAAAAAAAGTAAACCTGAGTTCTCAGCTAGGGATTGAGCTGCCTAGTGCTCTCCTGCCCTCTAGTGGCAGCCACATGACTTCAAGCCAAGGTTTATGAAGAAGGACTCAATCCTGGGAGAAACCAAATGGTACAGCCAATCAATCTCAGGAAGAACAATTTGTAAAAAGTGTGTTCTGTAAAAGTTGATTCCCATCTGAAGAATTCATAAACTTATGGATTTTTAAAAGTTTGTTTTTTGCACCCCCCCCCCTTTTTTTGTTTTGTTAATCCTCACCCAAATGTTTCTTGCCTATTGATTTTTCAGAGAGAGTGGAAGGGTTGGGGAAAGACACAGAGAGATAACATCAATATGGACTGCCTGCACCCAAGGTATGTGCCCTTAACAGGAATCAAACCTGTTACCCTTCAGTCCCTGGGCCAACGTTCTAACTATTGAGCCAAAGCAGGTAGGGCAGAAAAAGCTTATTTTTAGTAATCAAGTACAAAGTTTATGGCAGTTACTATTTTACAGGGGCACTTTTGTAGCCTTTGCAGATTTTCAAACAGTAGGCTTCTGGAGTACACTCATCCAACTCGATTTCAGTTCTTTCAGGTATGCCTTATATTTTACACACCAGGAGCCTTTCAAATGCTATATGTCATATGCAAAGTAGAAGGATTTCCCTCAAAGCAGTAACTGTCCTATTTTTATTCTTTTTGCCAAGGTTGGCCTGTGTAAACTTTGGAACTTTGCTCTATACAACCCACTTTATATAAAGAAATTTGTTCTGGAAAAGTATTCATGCTTTTGTGCATATCAATATACAAAGCATGCTTATATGAATATCAATATATTAGTCGCATTTACGTGAATATCAATGTACAGTCAAGCTTTTGTAGGATAGCCTGCAAAATTGGAGAGTCACACATTGGAGTGAAACTTTCTTCAAATGGCTAGTAGTCCTTTCATGATTAGGGCTTGAGCAGTTAGGACAAAGAAGGTACTAAAATCCAAACACATCCAAATATCACAAATCAGTGAAGTAGAAAAGGCAGTTCCTGGACTGCACTGAGAGAAGAGAAAAAAAAAAAACTTTTTTACTGATAACTGAGAAAAACAATCTGAAGTTTAATTTGTATAAAAAACTTTAACTCTGAGAAGTCATATTCCTGAAGCCAGAAAATTGCTAGAATCACTCAACTTTAAAACAATGACTAACACTGTATTGTGGTAGGTCATTGGGAAAGTAGTCATTTGAGGAATTTTAGACCAATATATGCCTCTCTATTTTTGCAGTCTCCTAACAAAAGTTGGATTTCATATTAACATTCACATAACCATGACATCTCTAGCAGGCAAAATTCTATATATGAAGTGGGATTTATATACCATCATTCCACTGTCTACACAGTCCAACGTTGACAAAAAGAAGAAAAAAAAAGGGTTGGGGAAAGACACAGAGAGATAACATCAATATGGACTGCCTGCACCCAAGGTATGTGCCCTTAACAGGAATCAAACCTGTTAAGGGCACATACCTTAAACACTTAATCCCCTAATTTTTTGAGAAAAAATTAGGGGATTAAGTGTTTATGCCCTGCCCTGAAATGCCACATTTCTTTTGCACATATAGAAAAATACCTCCTTCTCAAAACAACAATATTCCAGGGCATAAGAACAGACACCACATACAAATGTAGGTCACAATCATCAAGGTGTGCACCCAGTGATATGTACCACCAAAGTTTAGGATGACTCACCTTGATCCTCCTGAGAAGGGCAGGAAAGCATCAGCACCTGGTTCAAAATGGAAGGGTCAAACACCTGTAGAGAGAGCAGTAGAACCAGGACAGGTAAGGTCAAGCCCCTCCATCCATGAGGGCACAGGAGGAGGTGTTGTCTAGAGAGATCAGCTCCCTCCCACAGCCCATCCTCCCTCCCACAGCTGCCATACCTCTGGATTAGGCCACACTTTCGGATTATGGTGAAGTGCATAAATGTTAAGTGACACAAAGATTCCTGTTGAGCAGGGAGAAGAGAGAAGACTGATTATACACATACCAGCAGGGGGCAGATACATGCACAAAAAGCTTGGGAGCCACTATGAGAGTCATTCCAACTAGACTGATCCTATTACAATAGAAGTGAGGTGAACATGGCAAAGCACATGTGCACATATTAGGAGACTATCTCAGATGATGATCCAGTTTATCATGGCCCAGGAGAGAGGAGGAAGAAAGAAGTAAAGGCCTACTTTTGGAGCAATTCAAGGTAAAACTCACATTTATTAAGTGTCATCCATGAGTCCCTTGGGGATTATGCTTTAACTCATCTATCCTCACCACAACCCTCCAAAAAGTGAGCTAATATTCCCATTGTTCAGATGAGACACCTGAGCTTCCAAGAGGCTGAGCAACCTGTCTATGATCCCACAGCTAGGATGTGGCAAAGTTGGGATACAGACCACCAAAGGTGAGCTAAGGAGAGACCTCCAACTGTAGCATGGTTCTGAGATCTGGTCATCAGCTGCTCTCTGACATGAACGTGAGAGCTCCTTAAAGACTGGTCCATCAGCCTCTTGACCATGGATTTTCTGATTTCCTTCATTTGCCTAGATCCCATAAAAAAGAAACCACATCTATATATTACCTTTGACTGATTGTCTCTGCCACCCTCACATCTCAGGGAATTAGAATATTAGAGTAAAAACCAAAAGCCACATCAATAATCCAACATCTTCTTGTGAGGAAGATTCCATGGACTAAATCAGTATTATATTAACTACCTTTTACACAGTTCTTTGCATTTGTCAAAGAAGAGTTATGCTTATCCCCAGTAGGGGGTGTGCCAGAGGCAGCTGATCGATGACTCTCTCTCATCGACGTTTCTAGCTCTCTATCTCTCTCCCTTCCTCTCTGTACAAAAATAATAATAAAATATATATATATATATATATATATATATATATATATATATATATATATAGAAGAGTTATGCATATATTACCCCAGTTATGGCAGATTTTAAAATTGATGTGATTGCACAGACAGAATTGCCCCTAGAGTCTTGTAATCTGGCATTGGGATGGGAACCTGGAGTGTTAGAATTATAGAGCATCAGTGCCATCCAATGGAATTACTGTAGCATTATAAAACCATGGGTCCTACATGTGATGGAATGCTAGTCCTGGAGAATGATAATGCTTAGGATTCTCTTCATGTGAGGTGTCATACTGGCATGGACCCTATTTAGGTGAATGATTTTTTGTCTCTGAGTTGGAAGGAGAACTAATATTTATTGAACTTCTGCTTTGGTCCAACTCAGTGCCAGGCATTTCATATTCTTCATATAAACTATATAGTAAGTATCCAATTAATGATGAAGAAACTAGATCAGAGAGGTTCAGAACTGCTCTAGGACATGTGGATATGATCTGCCAGGGGTTCCTGTAGAATTCATCGGTTAGTGAGTATGGTGAAACTCAGACCTTTGGGTAAGGAGCGTCCATCAGGAAAGGTGATGGGCTTGCTGAGCTTTCTGCCAACCATTGGTACAGGAGGATAAATTCGCAGTGACTCCTTAATGCACATGGTGGTATAGGGCATCTGATCCAGATGATCCCTGAAATGAATGAAGCCCAATCTGAGGGCAGGCAGGGCCCACGCAGACCAGAGCTTACTGTTTAGCTGAGTAGGTAGGATTCTCCCATCTCCTGAGCACTCACCAGGTAATGGAGGCACCATCTCCTAGGAGGCTCTGAATCTCCTGGCGACACCTCTGTTGATGCTCTGGGTGGGAAGCCAGAGCATAGAGAATCCAGGAGATGCCACTGGCTGTGGTGTCATGACCCCCGAACATGAATGTATCCACTTCAGCACGGAGGTCCTTGTCAGACAAGCTACTTCCATCCTTCATCTGGAAAAGGAAGGTGAGAGTGTACTTCTTGCCCCCTCCTCTGCCCTTCTGGGCAAAGCCTCAGGCCCCTCCTACAGACACTTACTTTGGCAAAGAGGAGGATGTCCAGGAAATCCAACTTCTTCTTTCTCCTGACCCTCTCAAGATCTTCCTCATCCTGCAGATACGCCTTTCTCAGTTTGATCACTTGGTCTGTACCAGAACAATGATTCCCAGGCACAGTTGAGTGCTCTGGGTGGCCAGAAAGAGTGACCCTCAGTGGCCTCACCAGCCCCTCCCCCGTTCCAATATGGATGCCAGTGAATCAGGATGGGTATGGGAGAGGTATGTACATAAGAGGTGAGAGGTCTAGCTCCATCTGATGGCAAGTTAGGCCTCCCCTGTATAGCATGCCCATGGGAACACCAGCACAGTCCGCTACACCTTACATTTCAATTCCCAAGCTCTGAACCAGGTAAGTATTCAGTGGGGTATGCCTTAGCACCCAAAGGACGGTCGAGGTCAGAGCCAGTCCCTTTGAAATGTACATGATGAAGGAGGGGGAGCAGCCCAGGAGGTGGAGTCCAACCTGTGTGTTGATGGGCAAGCTGGCAAGCCCACTTGTTCCTGAGGCCATCAGGTGTCAGTGAGTAGAGGATGTCATTCTGGTAGAAGAAATTCCTCACTCGAGAATAAAAAAGATTTTTCATAACCTCAATGGCATTAATGTAGGATTTGGATTCGTATTTCCTGCAGGCAGAAATATATCAATAGAACAGATTAAGGTATTGGGGAGCCTCTGACCTAGAGGTGAAGTGGGGCTCTCGGTGGGAGTTTCACCAAACAGTGGGTACAAATGACACTGAGGCATTCATTGCTCCTGTCTTACAGCCTTTGAGACCCTCAATCCTTCCTAAGTGCCAAGAGCAACCAGACTTCTCCCTTGCTAGGGATCTGTGGTTGATTCAATTTTGGTCTGATCTGGAATTGTCTGTGGTTAGGAGCCCTGGACAGACTCTGGCTCATTGTGCTTGTGAGCATCAAAGCTTCCTGAACTGCCTCTCCAGTAAGTCCATGTCAGTTGGTAAAACAAAAGCCCTGTAGCTGAATGATTATCACTGACCTGTCCAACTGAATGCTGCTCTGATGGCTGAAGGCACACTTCATGATGGTGTCCAAGGTCATCAAAGAGATGTGTTCCAAGATCTCCAGATGAGAGTCTTGACTGATGAGCTCTTCCCATTTGTCCTGTGGTGGGAGGGGACACTGACCTCCTCTACTCCCCCAGAGGGCCTCTGCTGACCCAGCTAAGCTCTTTCTCTTTCAGCCTTTCCCAATACCTCACTGTCCTGAATAGAGGCATTATAACATATTAAGACTGTACAGCAAACATTAGTCATGTGAGTATTGTACTCTAGAAACTGTGATTATATAATTAAACAGGTTCCCTCATAAGAGTCTGAATTAGTTTTGAATTTTAGGAATAAGTTATGATCGATACTACCTTTTGCCAAACCAATAAACATTGTTACTCAGGCAACAGTTTGGGAATCTTATCTGTCCTGGGGTTAAGCTAAACCTGAGGGATAAGTACACTTCAACTCTATGTAGCAAATGTGTCAAGGTAAGAGGTAACAAGAGACCAATACTGGGGCTGCTAAGGATTAGACATCAGGGATGTTAATTTCTTCCCTTCATCAAATGTTAGCTGAGCATAGCTGGTAGGATCAGGATTCGGAGCCACTTCCTTCCATGGAGTGGCTCCATTTCATGCTGAAGCAAGCCCTGGCACCCAGGCCCAGCCCACCTGAAATACATCCTGGGATGTCCACCCTGTCTCTGAAGCTGCCACTGCCCAGGCCTGCCAGTGGCCACTTGTCTTGTCCAGGGGAATGACTCTATTTCAGTGATTGGCAAACACATTAGTCAACAGAGCCAAATATCAATAGTACAACGATTGAAATTTCTTTTGAGAGTCAAATTTTTTAAACTTAAACTTCTTCTAATGCCACTTCTTCAAAATAGACTCACGCAGGCTGTGTTATTTTGTGGAAGAGACATACCCAAGGGGCCAAAGAGCAGCATGTGGCTCAAGAGCCACAGTTTGCCAACCAAGGCTCTAGTCCACTGTGCTGAAGACTTGGAGGTGAGAGGAAAGCAGACTCTGTTTCTACCATGGTTCTGCTTTCTCTTGGCAATGACCAAAGTAGTGTGGATTTAAGTTGGTGCCGGGTAACTCCTGTTCCATCCACTTTTGGGAAGCTCTGTCACATTGTGGGATACGAGCATGTTATTCTAACCAGTTATGTGTGATAGATATCTGAAGGACACACTTATCCTAGCGTGGACTATAGGAGCTGTGCTGCGATTGGGTGTGAGAAGGGATGGACTTACCAGCATCACTCGGACAGAGTCTGCCATGTGCCCAACGTAGGGCTTCAGGATGTCATAGTGGAAGGCTGGGGTCAGCATCCGCCTGTGTTGTAACCAGGTCTGCCCATTCAGCAGGAGCAAACCATATCCTGGGCCGCAGAAAGGTGTATTGTGGGGAGGGAAGATGGAATCAGAAAGATGACTCAGGACAATTTGGGAGGAACCAAGGGTGTCAGAATAAGGCAAATTATGGCCAAAGGCAGGAAAGGCCAGTACATTTCAGGAACATCAGTTTCTCAAAATGGCAAGTAAATTGGATGTCATCATGACAACTGTGAGATAAAGGCTGAAGTAAAGTAGAGGGGCAGGTCATATACAGAAGATCATAAATGAATATTACCCTGTAAACATTGGAGAGCACTGAAAAGTGATGGGAAGAAGCTGAGTTTCAGGGGGGCCATCACCACCACTGGAAGGGGTAAAGGTCTTATTAGAAGAGAAATCAGACTTGATTCAGAGATGAGGGTGGTAATAATAGTGCTGGTTAGCTGTTATTTTATGGTAGCCAAACAGATAGCTCTTGGTAAGTATACCTGGCAGAATAGCAGTCCTGATTACACATACTTACCAATCCAGGGAGCCAGTAATCTGGATGAATCAGGAGGCTTTGGGTCTGAAAGGAAAGACCGGGCATTGGAGGAATTTGGAGGGGACAAGCCTCTTGAAGAAACTGTGGTCCAGAACACGGGCTGCTATTCCTTCCTGATCACTGTCAGCTGGAAATTTGTCTCAAGAGACCTTTCTCAACCTCCCATCCCAAGTATCTCTGTTCTAGTAGTTAATGTGGGCTCAGGAAAGCAATCCCAGCAGCAGAACATCCATAGGATGGTGAGTCAGCCAGAAATATTCTCTATTCTCAGTGCCAGAGAAACAGAAATCTGTGTTCTTCCCACCTATTTGTGGGGGCTTAGTCATTCCATGTCTCTGGATAGGCAACAACAATGAGAGGTGCCAAACCCAACTCAGCGTGGACAGGAAATTGTCTTTCAGATCTGGGAGAATTTACACAATTGATCATCTCAATCTAGCTAAAAGGGGACGAAAACGAATGAAAGAAAGAGAGAGAGAAAAAAAAAAAAAAAGTGGCCCCACACCACTGTTTAAGCATTCCATTTCAGCAAACATTGTTGACCTTAAGCTGATGCGGGGTGATTGTTAGAAGGATCAGATAATAATGGTAGAACAGCAAGTCTATTCTGGAATTATAAACTCAAGGGCATGTACCCAATCAGAGTGATGCTTCAGCCACAATGCAGGTTTCTGTCTCACCTGATCTTCCCAGGACCACCTTCATGTAGTCAGGGTCATAAATGTTGATGACGACCTTGCTCCCCCACATCCAGCGAGGACAGGCAGATGGGAATTTCTCTACCCATTTCTGAAACTGTTGTGTCTCCTGGTCCTTTTGGAACTATAATCAAGGGAAATACACACCAATAAAAACTTTCTGTTTAGGTGAGGAGCTTGGAGTGGTGGTGAAGGGGAGAATGGCCACAGGGAGAATCCAGGATCCATCAGCAGTTATTATGTGCTTGGAATTGTATCTGATGATCCAGGATCTGATCTGGATGCTCTCTCTTCATCAAGAGTTGGTCTAAGGTTAGATTTTGGCTTCTGTTTGGGCCCTCACTCAGAAATACCTTAGAATGTTACACACAGAACAAGTTTTATAAATGTTCGGTTATGGACTGAGTGGTGTACACCCTTTTTTTCACAGACTTAGAGTTATTGGTTGAACTGTATCCCTTTCAAGTTCATATGTTGAAGACTTAATCTCAAGTATCTGAGAATGTGAGTTTATGTGAAGATGGTGCCATTGTAATTAAGTTGAAATTAGGTCATTAGACCTAATCCAATATACCGTATTTTTCGGACCATAAGACGCACTTTTTTTCCCCCCAGAGTGGGGGGAAAAAGTCCCTGCGTCTTATGGTCCAAATATAGCCTACACATATACTTAAAAAAAATTTTTTTTTACTTGCCCGGCTCTGTGTGGTCTCTGTGTGCTTGCCCGGCTCTAAAATGGTTCTAAATGCTGCTGTTTACTTTACAGGGTTGATTACATGTGTTTATGACTGTGATGTTGGGTTTTAATGCACATAAAATATTTTAGGACACTATTTGTTTCAGAATCTTTTTTTCTTCATTTCCCTTCTCTAAAAAGTGGTGCATCTTATGGTCCAGAGCGTCTTATGGTCTGAAAAATACGGTAACTGTCTTTATAACAGAGGTGGAGTTTGGATACAGAAATAGTCACTTGGAGAGGGAAGATGATATGAAGAGCCATATGGAGAAGACCTTGGTTTGCTAATCAAGGAGAGAGGCCTTGAGCAGATGGTTCCTTCACAGCCTTCAGAAGCAGCCAACCCTACCAACATCTTGATTTGAATTGTGAGACACTCAATTTCTGTTGTTTCAGCAATCCACTTTGTTAAGCAGCCTTAACAAAGTAGGACAATTGTGTAATGTTCCAGGCACAGTTATGAGTTGGGATGGATTAGTACTTTATCCTGTTTCCCTGAAGAATGAGGAAACTGATAAAGCATATGCCCAGGTGACTGCAGACTCCAGGGAGTTTCACAGAGCCCAAGGGCTGGAAACAGCAGGGTGTAGAAGGAATAGATCCAGGGACTGGAGAGCTGCCAGGGCTGAGTCTCTAATTCTTTCTCTCTGCATTCATTCTCTTACCAAATGTTTATTGGAAAAGATTTCATGCTCCCAGGTCATATACACTATTGGAGCTCTACTTGACAATTTTCTAGAATTTGAAAATACGCTCATGAACAAACAGACAACAGTCCCTATCTTCGTGGACCTAGGTCCACAAAG